TGGTCTGAGGAGTTTGCTGGTCAGATTGTTTTCAGAGAGGTAGTGTGAGGCAGTAGTGCCCGGGTTCTCTCCCCCTTTCAAGCAAGCCTGCTCAGTCCATCCTCTGAATACCAGAGTAATCAATGCTGGCAGGTACTCCTCACAGACTTAAAACCTTTATCTATATTCTCATCTATAGTTTCTGCCTGAGAGAAGAAACAGGGAGGATAAGAGCTAGCGGGCAATAGCAGATATCAGGCGCCCAGTACAGGGTGAAGAGGCTCTGTACCCTCCCCCAAAGGTCCTGCACAGCTAATCCTCTGGATTCAGAGTAATCAATGCTGGCAGGTACCCCTCAAGGTTCCGATTCTGATACTATCCAAGGTCACCCAAGATCATTCTTGTAAAGCGGACGCTGGACCCGTTTTCCAGCAGGTGATGCTCCCCACCAATAGATGGAGCCCCTCCTCAGGTACTAGCGGTGTCTGCTCTTACCAGCACCACTAGTACCGAAAGGAGATGTTTAAAAAAAAAAAAAAAAAAAAAAAAAAAAAAAAAAACATGTCCCAGAGGATACTGTGTTGAAAGTCTCTTTCCCCGTATACTTGTCCATCTCTTTTTTCTCTTTCATAGATAAAAAGGAGGATAGCCCTCCCAACACCTCATTCCATCAAAATTCATGCTCATGACATGTACTGTTCATTCGATGTACGTGCAATTTGAAAAACTGTGAACAAACAGGTCATCATCTCTTAATCCAAGTACGACTCTCGGGACGACAAATGGCACTAACCAAAAACTACACGCAGTCACCCCCAAAACGAATGAAAAAAAAAAAAAGGAGCCCCCAAGTTCACTAGCATTACCGCAGTATCACATGATTCTTATCCCATCACAACTGAACTTTGTGGTATGTTTACAAGGAGAATTGCTTGTGTACTTGTCCCATACTTATTCATACATGACAAAGTGTAGTGCACATCCACGAGATTGACCCAAAGCAAGAAGGCATATAAACGCAGCGGAAAACTGACATACATATGACAGGCTGGCACAACAGTTTCAAAATAGACAATGCACGCTCATACATGCACCACACGGTGAGAAGGGGACAATGCAAATTACAAGGAAGGGGCGCTGTTCCCTCATCATTCTTAGACGAAGTAGGAGGGAGATGGAGCCCAAGGGGGAGGAAAGAGGGCGAGAGACGAGGGCGAGAGACCAAGTCGACAATCCAATCCTGATTGTCCCCGACGTCCCAGTCTAAACGTGATGTCCAAAGGCGGCTCTTTGCCCAAAGTACCAGAACAGGGCAATGGCCCGAATGTCACCAAGGTTCGAGAAGGAAGTATAAGACTGAGCGATGAAGGATGGAAGAGGACCAGAGGAGAAAAGAGGAAGGAGAAGTGTCCTTTCTCTCCCTTTCTCCACTGATATCAGATACTATCCGCGTAAAGGTGCTGCTTTGCTGCAGGTATTGGAGCGCTGAAGACGATGCTGCTCACATCCTCGTATGCCATAAGGTCCTACACTATGAAAGGAGGTAGAGCAAAAGCGAAGGTGTATTCATGTTCATTTCTTCTCACGTCTTTAACTTATATTTGTTCTTTTAATGATGCTCGTTCGTATTTATCACGGGTAATACACAAGAGGACGGAGGAAGGAAACAAGAGGTTATGACAAGGATCAATATATTGACCCCTAAGGCAAACAATTTTATAATGAATCATCAGGCAAATTAATATGTGTTTGTGTGGGGGGGGGGGGGGGGGGTTGTAAATTTTCACCACAACAACCTCTATTCCACCCAGACAAATAGATTTGAAATTAGCCAGCCTAACAACTAAATAATTCACCTCTTTAAACCACCAGTACCTGGGCCATACATCGGCCACGGGGTCTTCCCGTATACACGCCGCGACCCCAGGGCCTCGGGGGCGGTTCAACAGGTTTATTTGTGAAGGCCTCGCAGGCCCAGTCGGGACAAGGCCGGTAGTTGGACAACCGACATAGGTTACGACCGTTTGTGCCTGGCCGGCCAGCCAATGTGCGGACGGACGTTGTCCACAAACGGAAGACAGAAAAAAAAAAAAAA